CACTTACCCTTCAATATATATATTTAACTTTTAGAAGCTAGGATCCCTATGTAAGAGAAAACTTGTATCCGAGCCAGTGTTACCTCACTTAATATAATTTTCACAGTTCCATTCATTTTCTGATAATTTTTAATTTCATTTTTTATGGTTAAAATTTCATTGCATATATGAATCACATTTTCTGTATCTATCTGTTGATGGACATCTAGATTGGTTCTGTTTCTGGCTATTGTAAAAAGAGCTGTAATAAACATGGTTGTTGAAGTATCTCTGTTGAGGGATACTTCAGAGAAGGGATTAATTTCTAGAATATATAAAGAACTAAAAAATAACATCAGTCCCTCCAAACTGCTTATGGACAATGGACTGAATAGACAGCTCTCAAAAGAAGAAGTAGAAACAGGTAATAAATTTTTAAAGTGTTCACATCTTTAGCAATCAGAGAAATGCAAATTAAAACTCTTTAAAGATTTGATCTCACCCTAGTAGGAATGGCCGTCATGAAGAAAACAAATGATGGCAAATGCTGGCATGGATTCAGGGCGCTGGTGAGGGTGTACGTCCGCTGTGGAAATCATTGTGGAGGTGTCTCAAAAAACTAAGAATAGATTTACTCTATGGCATAGATTTACCAGTCCTGGGCATATGTCTTAAGAAGTCTATATCCTACCTCAAACTTTTTTCTCAAGCCTAGTTTGTTATTTTTTTCCCCAGACTACTAGTCCCCCGACCCCAAGCCTAGTTTTCTTCCTCAGTATACTTTTTATATATCTAAGACTTTTTTGTTGTTTTGTTGTGATTTTTTTTTGTAACAGTAGCCCCAGTAGACCAGGCTGGCCTCAATCTCACAGAGATCTGCCTATCTCTGCCTCCTGAGTGCCGAGATTAAAGGCATGTGCCACCATGCATGACTTCTAAGATTTATCATTATACCGTATACTTAAGATTTAGTGTGTGTGTGTGTGTTTGTGTGTGTGTGTGTGTGTGCATGTGTACACTTGAATGCAGGTGGAGGCAGAAGAGCAGTGGATCTCCTGGAGCTGGAGTTACAGGAGTCGGGACCTGCTTGATGTGGGTGCTGGGAACCAAAGTCAGGTCCTCTGCGAGAGCAGCAGCAAATGCTCTAAACCATGGAGCCATCTTTCCAGTCCTCTCAATAAGCTTTCAAAGGTGTTTAAATAGTTTCATATCTGGTCACGTTGGGAATTTTGCTTCTTAAAAAAGTCAAACTGCAAGCACTTGTCTATAAAGACATTAAGTTTTAAAAGTTTAATGTCATTTAGTGCCACGCTTGAACTTCTGGAACAAATCTGTTGAATAACCTCAGGCCTCTGTTTTCAGCCAGTCATGTCGACCTTTGCTTCTATCATGATTAGCATAAGGTAAGAGGCTTATGTTCACTTATAATGCTGATAACTGAAATCATTAATTTTAGTTTTATGAAGTTTTTCTATTTTTTGTTAACTTCTATCCATCATATAAACATGGGACTTGAACACGTTTCCTCCTGTCTGTTTCTTCAAGTCCTGTGTGATGGTCACTCCAGCGCTGCATTCTTCTGTAGGACATTTCACACACTTCTGTCCAGTTTCTCTGACTGCTTAACTTTCTGTGTTATAAATATACAAAAATACTTCCTCCTTTTCTTCCAGTGCTAAGCGAAGGACAGATATATCTGCAAGTCTCTTGATATTTTCTCTTTTGTTCATGTGTTTGAGACAGGATCGTGCTGTGCAGGCCAGGCTGACCTCAAGCTTGCCGTCCTTTGGCTTCCAATTCCTAAATACTGGGATTCCAGACTCATGTCACCATGGCTGTCCCCTTTGACACTTTGAACAGCATCTCTGCACAGCACAGGATAAGCAAAAGCACACAGTGAGTGATGCAGGTGGACAACGGCCCCATGCAGGGCATCCTGTTACCTGCCAATGCTGTGCCAGACTTACACACATGTGGTTTTACCCCCATTTGTGGGCATGTTTGAAGGGAGAATCTGGGCACAAATGGAAAAGTTACATGGCAGTTGAAGGGAGCTAAGAGGGTCTTTATATTAAATAAATTGTGTTTTATACTGGCTTTTTGACTGTGATATTTACATGAGGTCAAGATGGAATAGTCCACTTTCTATATCACATTGATACTCAGAGTTTTAGATTTTGAGCTGGGTATGGTGGCTCATGCCTGCAATTCCAGCACTTTCATGGCAGGGGGATTGTTTTGAGTTCTAGGTCAGCCTAGGCTACAAACTGAGACCTGTCTCAGAAACAATATATTACAAAACAAAATGAGGCAGGTGTGGTGTAACATCCCTGTCATCCCAGAACTTGGGAAGCGAAGGCAGGAAGCATCTCTGAGAAAGGTAAAGCTAAGGTATATGTTTCAGAAAGGTAAGAGGCTCTTTGTTTCCCAGCACTATAAAAACAAAACAAAAAGCATCCCTTCTCCCCTAACTCCCTAAAAGAAAAGAAAACAGAAGAGGGGATTTTCAGGCAGCAGGAGAAGTTCAGGAGTCTTAAATTAGAGCAGTTTCTAGGTGGGGATGCTGTAGGGTGTGCTCAGTCAGGCTGAAGGAGGAGAAAACCTACAGGAAAGGAAGAGGGCTCTTCCCTCACTGTGAGCAGCTCCTATCGAGTAGGTTAAGTCTCTTGTGAAAGGCCCTGGATTCAGTCCCCAGCCTCACTCTCCAAATAATTTTTATAAAGACCCTTGTTCAGTTTATAGATAACATGCCTCGGGGCTAGGGAGCTTCAGGGAATAGGAATTAGGCCAAGCCTGTTGGGAACAAATCAGGGTCCTGAGGATCTGGATCTGGCTCACAAAATGATCAGCCCTAGGCACCTGGAGTTCCCTAGAATCCTGCAGTTAGGCTTCAATTATTGCCAGCTGAAAACTTCTGTCTTCTTAAAAATTTCTTCTATTTTCTCTTGTTCTCTTAGTTTCTGTTGAAATAACCAGTCATCTTGGCTGTGCTAAGTTGAGAAGATCCATCCTTACCTAGGGCAGCGTAACTTCTTGCAGTGGGAAGTCAGAACCAGGTTGTGGCATTCCGAGGACGTTTATCAGCACAGCAGCACCGAGGACAGAGCTGTTGGTTTGTTCTTTGCTGCATTTTTCTACATTTCTCCGAGAATCAAATACAGAATCAGTGTTTGCCTCTCTGATTTCCGTTGCTATCTGGCAAGATGCTATTTATATTAGATGTGAAATAAATATTGATTAAATTGAATTTTTCCAGGTGTCTCACATGTAGATTCTGTGTTTGATTTCATATGTCTCACATGTAGATTCCATGTTTGAGTTCATTCATTCATTCATTCATTCATTTCTTCACTCTCTTAGTAGCATTAGTTTCCTGAAGGCTACTAGATATATTAGGTACTGAATATACTAATAGTCTAAAACTGTTGTTGCTCTTCAAGAGCTCATAGTTTTCTGAAGGAGACAGTCAAACCGATGATTCCAGAAAAGATGGTGATGAAAAATAGATGATCTTACTATGATACAGGGATAGGTTTCCTCACCCAAAGTGGAGTGCTGGTAATGAGACCAACTAGAGAAAATTCTTGCCTTAGCTGGGCTTTGCTCTTCTATTTTTTTTAATTAAAGCTGATTAAGATTTGGGGGTGGGGCAGGCTGAAGAGATGGCTCAGTAGTTAAGAGCACTGAATGCTCTTGCAGAGGACCTGGCTTCAGTTCCCAGCACCCACATGGTGGCTGACAACCTTCCATAACTCCAGTTCCGGATGCCTTCTTCTGATCTCCATGGGCATTGCGTGACATGGGTGCACTTACATACATGCAGGCAATACACTCATACACATAAATATAAAAATATGTTTACCAACAGGTTTGGGGGCAGTGAGAAGGCTCAGTGGGTAAAGGCACTTGCTGCCCAACAATGCAAGCCTGACAACCTGCTCATCACCTCTAGAACTCAAATGTGTTTGTGGAAGGAAAGAAACAGTACCTCTGCTTGTGTGATGTGGAACACATGCCCCCCCACACACACAGAGACACACGATTATAAAACCTTCATTACTGTGTGTATGTGTCTGTTTATGTGAATGTGAGGACACCTTTGCCACAATGTGACTCTGGAGGTCAGAGGGCAACTTTCAAGTGTTGGTTCTAGTTCTCTCCTTCCATCACAGGCTTTGGGTATCAAATTCTTGTTGTCATTGAGACATCTTCCCAGCCCTGTTCTATTTTTTTAAAGACCTGAAGTTTGAAAGAGGAGCAGAAGTTTAGGGAAGAGCCTTCTGGGCACTGCAGGTGCAGTTGATGATGTAAGACAGCACCACCAGGAAGCGACAAGGTAGCTGTGCATATTGTAAAAGAGGGACGGGGATCTGAGACCACTAATACCAAGAGTTATTATTAACCAATGTTTATTAATTCCTGTTGTGTTGCTGTAGAGCTGTTTTCTTAGACCTCTTCTGGTGGACTGTTCTGGGATAATTTATTTATTCTTTGTGCCTTCTTGAGAGTGTTTAATATTGTCTTCAGATTGAAGCTTGTCTTGTCTCTATGTATATGTGTGTGCATCTATGTGTGGGGCTGTATGTGCACATGAGTATAGGTGTCCCTCAAGACCAGAAGTATCAGATTCCCTGGAAGTAGAATCACAGGTGGTTGTGAGCCATCTGATGTATATACACTTGGAACCAAGATCAGGTCCTCTTGGAGAGCCGCATACACTCTAACTGCTGGACTGTCTCTCTAGCCCCTGTTTTTGTTTTGTGAGACGTGATTTCAGTATGTTTCCCAGGCTGATGAACTCACCGTGTGTCCCAGAATGGCCTCTAAAGCTCACTGCGGTTCTCCTGAGTGCTAGGATTACAGAGCACACACTACAAAACCTAGCTGGGAATAAAACTCTCCACAAGACTGAAAGAGGCTGTGGAAACACACGGAGGATGGCTGTACTGAATACATCTTCCATTAGCTCCAACTGGAGAGCAATTTGCTTGGTCCCCACCCCATTTCCACTAGTGCCATGTCACTTCTAGCACAAGCCACAGCAGAAGAGCTGCCGAGAATGTGCTGACCACCTACACGTGTCAGGCAGCGTGCTGGAAAGGAAGACGGAAAGGAATATCTGCAGAAGAGCAGTAATAGCTGCCTCAGCCTGACTCTGCAGTTCCCTCACCAAACTGTCCGTATTTTAGTTCCTTTTCCCTGTTAATTGTCCTGTTCTTTTAGGGTGAAGGGGAACCCTCTAAAACATACATTTGATCATGGCGATGCCCTAAGTTAAAATCTAGATACAGTTCTTCATGACCTTGGGGATAAAAATCCAAACTTATTAACCCAGCATTCCAGTTCTGCATCTTCTGCATGCTCCCTTCCGACCCTGTCCCTCCGTTACAAGACGCACAGCTACTTGCAGCGCTCTGACACGGTGCCCCCACTACACTAGCAACTGCACCTACTGTGCCTAGGAGGCTCTTCCCTCAACATGCATATGTATATAATATATTGTATGAAATTTGCAAAAATTCAATAAAAATTTAGTAGCAAAACTAACAAGCAGCAACAAAAAGAATTTTATTTTGCTTTTCAGCCTTTTTAACTTTGGGAGATTTTCACACGTTGTGCATTGTACTTACTTGATTTCCAACCCTCGTTTCTCCCACCTCCAATTCCACCTGCCCCCCCCCAATCTCTCTGGGGTTCCTGGCCTCTTCTGTGTTTATTATTCTTTCACATACATGTATAGATATATATCTGTACACATACATGTATATCACAAACACATGTATATACACAATCTACTGAGTCATTCAGGGTTGCTTATCTGTACATGTGTTCAGTGCTGACCACTATTACATTGGATAACCTATCAGAGGCTTCTGCCTAGAAAAACAACTGAATTCTCTCTTGCTGGGCAGCCATTGATTGTCTGTAGTTCTTAATCTGGGGGTAGGGCCATGTGGACTTTCCCCCATCCACATTGGCATGTCAACTGGTGTGATCATTATTCAGGACTTGTTTAGACAACCATATTGTTGAGATTTCACGGGTTTCAGCATCCCGGTCATGTGTAGAAGACACTGTCTTGTAGTGGGCATCCTGGTTTTCAAGTTCTTTTATGTTGTTTTGTTTGTGTTTGTCCTTTGAGACAGGATCTTCCTGTAGCCCCAGCTGGCCTGGAACTCCCTATGTAGACCAGGCTGGCCTCCATTTCACAGAAACCCACTTGCCTATGCCTCCTGAGTGCTAGCCACCATGCCCAGTTGTCCTCTGGTTCTTATGATCTCCTTGCCCCATCTTTTGCAATGTTCCCTGGGCCTTGGGTGTAGGGGTTCATTGTAGATGACACAATTGGGGCTAGACACCTCAGAGTCATTTGTTCTCGGCATTTTGACCATTGGGGATCTCTATGCTAAGCACCGTTTGCTGTAGAAAGAAACCTCTTTGATGAGGGCTGAGAGCTACACTTCTCTGTGGGTATAAGGACAGGTATTTAGAAAACAGAAGCTATATTGATTTAGGAAAATGGCTGCAGTGGATTCCCCTCTAGGGTCTATGTCCTCTCCAGCCACGGGTAAGTGGCTAGGTTTACAATACCAGGCATGAGTTCCGTCCTATCGAGTGGGCATTAAGTTCAGTTAAATAGCTGTTTGGTTACCTCCAAAGTAGACATGTCACTATTGCACAGTTGGGGGATATTTTGCGGGGCCAGTCATTGCTGTGTTTCACAGGCTTTATGAGTGGTGGGACTATCAATCACTTTTCTCTCTTGAGAGCTTGCATAGATAGTACCTTTAAACATTATGAGACCTAGCCCTCAGGGAGGAGGTGTCCAGGTCAGCACTAATTTGATTCTTCTAGGTATTGTGTCTGAAGTATGTGCTGTCTTCAGCAATAGGGTCTTACCGTCAACTTTGAGAGGTAACCAAGGGCAACGGCAATAGCCTATATTGTTTTGGAGTCTCTTGGACGCCTCTGACCAACAACCCAAAGGGAGGTTTCCTTTGCCTGACATGGTCTATGGTTTCCAGTTGTGCATTATCACTCTGTGTGGTATAATTCCATTTAAACTATAAATATATGTGTGCATACACAAACACACAGATTATATGGTTTTTTTTTTGGTCTTTTAGAGACAGGGTCTCCCTGTAGCGCTGGCTGGCCTGGGACTCACTTTGTAGGCAAGGCTAGCCTTGAACTCACAGAGATCCACCTGCCTCTGCCTCCCAAAAGTGCTGGGACTAAAGGTGTGTGCTATCATGCCTGGCTGACTATATGTAGTTTTAAGTAAGCTTCTAAAATAATATGCCTCCCTGTGACTTTTTCAAACTTCTCAGTGTTATCTCTCCTTCCTCCCTCTCCTTAAAGCTCTGAAGAATAAAATTGAGAAAAACAGTAGAAGATGAAAAGACCTCCCATGCTCATGGATTGGTAGAACTAATATTGTGAATGTGACAATCTTACTGAAAGAAATTTACATATTCAGTGCAATCCAATCAAAATGCTCATGACATTCTTCACATAAATAGAAAAAAAAAATGTCCCCGAAGTTCACATGGAAGCACAAAAGATCCTGGAGAGACAAGGCAATCCTGAGCAAAATGAATGAGATCACCATACCAGATTTAAAATACAATACAGAGCTTTATAATAAAAACAGCATGGTACTGGCACAAAAAAAGACATGTAGATCAGTGGAACAAACTAGATGACCTAGACACGAGTGCACATAGTTACAGCCACCTGATATTTGACAAGGATGCCAAAAATACACACTGGCGGAAAGAAAGCATCTTTAATGAAGTGCTTGGAAAACTGGAGCTCCACATACAGAAGAATGAAATCAGACCCATATCCATTATCCTGAACAAAAATCAACTCCAAATGGATCAAAGACCTCAATGTGAAACTTGAAACTGCTACAAGATCTAGGTTCGGGAAAAGACTTTCTGAGTAGGATTTTGTTTGCTCAGAAATTAAGACTAACAGAGGCAAATGGGACCCCCACAAGCTAAAAGTCTTTTGTAACACAAGGATCAGTTGAGTGAAGAGGAAGCCCATGGAGCAGGAGAAAATCTTTGCCAACTATACTTTCAATAGAGGATTAATATGCAGAATACACAAAGAACTCACTAAATAATCAAGAAAATGAATGGCCCAATCAACAAATGAGCTATGGATCTGAACAGAGGATTCTCAAAAGAAGAAATAAAAATGGCTAAGAGC